TGCAAATCAAATCCCTTTCAACTGCTCTTATTTACCAATTTAATAACTCATCCCTTTATAAGAACATCTCTTTAATTCAACTTTACCAATTATAGTTAAGCAATCTTCTTGTTACATCCTCCCTAAATTATTGATCACATTCTTTCAACAAAAGTTCACATAGAAACCTAATTGGTGCTTTCTTCTCTCTTATTAACTTTTCATTATCAAAACTTTCTCTTAATGTTTCCCCTCTCCTCCTGAATAAAATTACTAGAGGCATCCAACCCATCACAAAAATCCTTTCTAATAGTTTACTGAAACAATATAACAAGATTCTCACTAACCATAACTTATATTTGTTAGATCAACTAATTTCTTCTTCAGGTCGTTATTTAATTACTACATCTGATTTCCTTCTTAGGGATTTTAACCACCAGTCAAAAAGATTTGGTTCATCTGATTTTTTCTATAGATTAGATAACATTATTTTAGAAAGCCACGTATATAGATTAATCAAACTAGCATTCAGACTAGCTTCTCCCTTATTATGTTACAAAACCATTTCTCAAGTGCTCATCTTAAATAGCCAAACGAAAGAAATAGTATCAACCTGGAATACAATGCTCAATGGTCCAACTTTCAGAAAAATTATAGCTGATGTCTCAAATAGTAGTTATCTTATCTGTTACCATTTCACCCATAATATCAATCATAATAATGTTTGTCAGCTTGTTAAATGCTTCAGTTGTCCTCTCAGCAGACAGACCGTTTTATCTGAGCATTGCATCATCAATATCCCTAATGCCTTGGCCTACTTAGTCCAGACCATTCCTAAGCAATCACATACAGTCAAGAATTAACCCAAGCAATCATTTAGGAAAATCTCTTATATCACCAATATGATCTTTTACAGTTCATACAATGACCTCCCTCCAATAACTCTGCCCTCTGAAAACATTATTGATCTTCTCATTCAACCATTGATGCACTCACCCATGCTTAAACAATTGTAATTCACATTCATTAGTGTTACAGCCTTAACATTTTACACTGATGGCTTCTTAAGAGGATCTCAGATGGACAACTGTAAAATGGAATTAGGTTAGATTTGCTTACACCTAGATAACGGTTCATTTACCTTCAAAGTCTCACTTACAAATTGACCCTTTTCCACGAGAGCTGAAATGTATGCTCTCCTCACTGCCCTCATAATATTCCCAAATAACGCAGTGATAGATGTCTACCTAGATAGCCAGGCAACAATTCATGGTTTTAACAAATACGTGTTCTCCAATCATCTTTCTCAAAGAAAGCTTGAAAAAATTTCCAATTATACAATCTGAATTATTATCCGATACATTACTGATCACCTCAACCTTCAAGTTTCACTCCACAAAATCAAAGCACATGCTGGAAATTATTACAACGAAATAGCAGATAGATTAGCTAAGGATGGATGCAATACACCTCCTCTATTCCTGCTACTTAATAACGTTCCCTTATCAGATCTCTCATTATGCTTTAATAATATTCTTATTGAGGTCTCTATCAGAGGTTTTCTCAAGCAACTCTTTGCAGCACAAGTATTTTGCAACTTTCTGGATTTGATAAATTCAAAGTACTTACAGTCAATAAATCTATCAATTAGTTTGCCATCTAGAACCTTTTTTCGATGAACACCTCTTCTCCTTCTACATCCTTTGCTTCATGTAAGCTCAAATCATTCATAATTAAAAACTTCATCAACGAACTTCCTTCACTATCACGTCTCACATTATTACGACCTAACTTATATAAACACTAGCCTTATGTAGGTTACAATGTTGCTACTGAAACTGCTTTTTATATTTAGACATATCTAGCGTATTTCTCAAAAATTATAGATACAATCTCAGCTACTAAAAATGATCTTATTGATCAGCTAAGCTTTTCATACAGAGCCAGATACACAGCGCACTAAACTGAATTAGAGGATGTATTCAACAACACCTTCGCATCATCTTCAAATGCTTCTAGTGACTACACAGACATTATTCAATCCAGAATTTCATCTTCCCTTATAGATATTGTTCACAAAATTACTGGCAATAAAGAACGATGCCTCTCCATTATTTCACACTCGCTGCTCCTCTTCCACCAAAAGCTATATGATGACGTCTGGAAATACTGCTGCAATTTATTAATTGCCAAAGAGCATTCAATAGGCATCACTAAACAAGATAAGCGTAAATGCAGTGCCAGTTCACCCCTGCCTTACAGACAGACATCAAGCCCTTTTTTTAACTGGAAAACTTGGATACATCTTGTGAACAAATTTGGCTACGCATTTTCAGATTTTTAGATAGACACTGACATCTTCCTTTTCTTTTCTTGCTGATGTTAACCTTCATTAAGTATGCATTTAGTGGAGTTGATGGAAAGAAAAGATAATAATAGGTCAATTCAAACGGGTTTACAATATAACTACAGAAGATAGCTAGTATTTAGCATAGATTTATTTTCGATTTACTTTGTATTTCTTTATATATAAATTTAATAAAGTTACTAGCAGTGCCACATCATTAAAAAAAAATACAATTACTAATTTTTATTTAATTTATTAAAAAGTTTCAAATATCGAAAATGCAAATATCTCAAAAGACTTTCCATTAATTAAGAAAGATTATGTATTTATTATATATAGTGATCAAATATGTATAGGAAGAATTATTGCGATTTATTTTGAGACTTATAAAAATCACTGCTATATTGAAGAGCTAATAACAGATTCAGATGATATATCTAATATATTTCTATATATTTATATTCTAATCCATTATTTATTTAGCGATTTAACCAGAGAAGAGTGTAATCTTTTAACTCATTACCTTACTTCTAATATTATTTATCATATTAGGCTAACTAATATATTAATTGAAGAAAATATATTGAAATTATCAGAAAATGAAAAGCAGTATTATTATAATTATTTTGATCGAAAAGATATAATTGAAAAAATATAATAGAATACTTTTGACAATAGTATCAAATAATACATTTAATAAATATAATAAATAATTAGTTACGTTTGATCAATGAAAAAATGGGAAAATCATATGATAATCAAATGTTAGAAAATTAATTTGTGTATTTTTTTCAATTATCTGAAGTAAGAAGGTAATTTTGTGTACTGAACTTATAGAAAATCCTTATATACAGCTATTAGTAAAAAATCTAAAAGTTATTTTATTTTTTATATATATTTTAGGATTATACTTATACGATTATCGAACACTTAAAACAGACAGTAGTTTTTGGTCAACTTATATAAGGGGATATGGGTATTGAAGAATTTTTCACCTGAATCAAAAAGACCAGTAAATTAGCTGGAATGATACTTAAACAACAAAGAGAGCAATTAATTCATAGCTTAAGTCTTATGAACCAGTATAATCTTTGAATGATGGCTAAGTTTCATGATACGTATGAAATATTATAGAAGCCTTAGCTGAAGCAAAAAAATTTATATTATCTCAAAAGAATACACCATTTTCTTTTCCAATTTTTCTGATGGCCAATTCATATGTAGATACTAACAGATCAGAGATAACTAAAACTGAAATTGAGAGCTTGGTAAAAAATATAATGGCATTCTTAGAATCTTAACAGCCTCAACAAGTACTTTATTGCAATTCCAACCACATTCTGCAGGAACGCATAAAAATTTATGAGATGAAGAATAGGTAGATTTTTATAATAGATTACAGGAAAAACCCTAGAATTTGTTCCTATTCCTAATCCTACTTTGCCACCAAAGCTAAAAAAAGGTTGAAGTTGATTCTAACGAAGAACTTGCTGAGCTCACAAAAAAGCAGTTAAAGCTATATGTGGCTAAAGCGATTAAAAAAGCCATAAAAACATAATAGGATCACGTAGGATATTTAAAAATGTGTATTATCATTATTCTGTATCGTTACTATCATCTGAACTGTCCTTTTCATCTTGATTATTGCCTTCTTCTGAACTATTTGATTGATTATTAAAATCTGCAAACTCTTTATTATTATTCTCTGTTATACTATTATAGTTCATCATATCATTTTCCGATGATTCCTTATACTTAAGCTAAATTATAATAAGACTTATTAGTAAATAAAAGTAATTCAGATTAAATAAATAATAACTTACCTAATTTCGTACAATTGGATCAAAATCCCATTTGTTTATACGTTCCTGTACTTTTAATGACACTATTTCAACTTGATCATATGTTAGATCAAAGAACATCAATATTACTATAATACTGAAGATTATATTATCTTTATTTTATAGCTCTTCTTCATTAAATACTTTTTGTAAAATAGTTTTAAAAATATATGGTAAATCTGTGTCATTATTATCTATTTTGTTACAGATTGTTTTTTACTTGTTTAACTCTTTCTAATTTTTTCCAACGCCTAACTTCTTCAGGATCAGCAAATTAACTGAATTTGTAAGAGAACAAATTTAATAATACATAAATAGTTTCTTTTATTTTGTGAACGTATGACTTCCTGTGATTGCGAAAGTATTCTAATATCTATTATATATAAAATATATTAAAAATTATGTTAGTGCAATATTATATTCATATATAATAAAAAAAATACAATAGAGTATCCAGCATTTTATATATTAGCCCATCCATCTGAATTGATAAGCTCTTGTATCTTATGAGGATAATCATTTTCAACTTGTAATCTGAAAGCTTGTTTAATTTCTGTATCTGACAGATTCTTATTTACTTGAAATAATTATTGATAAGCTTTCGTCATTGAAGCCTAAAGTAAATAAAAAAATATTTAAAACTGTTGATTTTATCAATAAATTGATACCTACATCCTACTACATATGTTTAGTGTCTTTTCTTTTCAGGCGTTGCTTTAGTTTTTTTCCATGCATTTGTTCAGTTATCATATTTAACTGTCTTTCTGTTAGCATTGTAAAGAGGTTTTGTAGAAGCTTGCGATTCTCAAAGATCTCATATTTTATTTTATCATTACCAACTTTTAAAGTGTCAACTATTATGCGCTGTTTTAGCTATTCTTCGAGTATCTTATTAAGTATAGATTTGATATTTATATTGAGTTTTAAATCTAATAAAATTATAAAATGCAAATGTTTGAATATCTATTAATTATAAATGATAATATTATATAACTAAATAAAACAACTTACGTTTTGTTGATGAATCACCAAATGTCTCTGACTTCTTACGCTTAATACCTCCTATATCTTCATTATAATGTAATGTTTAAGCAGTTCAGAAGATACTACATGAAAAGAATATATAATACTTACCTGTTATTTCAGGAAATTGAGATAATGTTGATGATGTTGAAGAGAAGCCAGTAATCATCGCTTTAGATTTATTTGATATAGATATTAGTGATGCTAACATTTTTTGTATTATAGAGTCTCCTATTAATAAAGCAGATAATTTGTTTGTTTTTATAGATTGTTGTTGAGACTTATTAGGTAATTGGTATAGAGTTCCTAGTTGTTTCTAGCTGCCTTTATAGACGGTTGAGGTTGGATGATATCATTATCATTATTCATATCTTGATTCTCATTTCTATATACTTTTTGATTTTTTCTTTTCTAATATAAACTGATAATTTCAATTGTTATATAATACAATTATAAATATAAGAAAAAAAATATATATATACCTTATTGAAAGACAAGTTTTTGTTAATAGCTGAATCATCAAGTTTTATCGTGTTATCAGTAGAAAGATATATACTAGAAATCGGTAAATTTGGTAGAACATTTTGGTATTCAATATTTATATGTTCTTTTAATGCTAAAATTGATAATTTGTATTGTGATATGACTTTTCGTATAGATATATTAGCATCCTTTTGCTTTTCGTTCTTAACTGAAGCTTTTTTGACTTATACTTCATCTTTTTCTTTAGGTTTGATTTATATTTTAATGCAAGAAAAAGTATTACTCATGTCAACAAATAATACAAAATATGACTTTATAATAATTTACCATAAACGTTTCATGTGAAGTTCTTTTAGTTGAGGAAAAAGTTGAAATATCTTTTGTTGTGTTATTAAGTATGTCTCTAAAAGATGTATTGGATGTAATACCAGTATCGTCAATTTTTATTCTTCTGCATCTTATATTTAATAATACTATTATTTAAAGTTATTAAGCATTAACAAGAAAGAAAAAAAAAATTAAACTATATTGATGATAAACAAATATATTTATATCTTACTATATATATTAAACAATAGTTGATCAACTAACTATTAATCAACAATACAATATATTTATTAATCAAACAATACTATATATAGAGTTCTAAATGAGTCAAGTTGAGTTGAGTTTAAAGACCAACTCTATTCGACTCATTTTTTTCAAGTCGAGTCGAGTCAAATTTATTTTATAAAATCTT